ACCGAAAGACTAGTCGTAAGATAAACAACAATATCAAACACAGACGGGTCTACTCCATCCTTGGGTGATTCCTCTAAGATGTACCAACTTAACCAATATGAAAGGAAAGTAGCAAGGTAAGTAGAACTATGCTTATACTTTTCGTATCTAGGCCCATTTACCCCATCTTCCCCTATCTCGGTTCCTCCCGTCGGAGATGGATTCAAGTCCCGATACTAATACCGTAGCCATCCCCCAAAGGTATTCTTATAATGTTCCCGACGCTGCGTACTCTCCTCTTTTATCATAGCCGCTCAATAGGAATCCCACCTCCGAAATCGAGGCTTTCAAAATCAATACAATCTTTAGATGACTCGGAATAGATGTATTAGCAAGTGGATCCGCTATACCAAGTAGAGGCAAACCAGTCAAAGCGCAAACATCCTCCAATGTAGGTGTCAATTCCCCCCCACCAAGTAACAAAGGTGTGAGAACTAGAACTCCAACGAGGAAATGCCACACTCAACCATGATGGCTCCCTCCTCACATTCAGCCTCATAATTGCCACTATGGCACCAGACACACCTGCGTTCTTTAAAATCTCATTGAAAGAAGGATCAATTAGCACCTCCTCAGCCCAAGTATCAAAACCCCCACCATTCTTAGTAAAAGCATAACTATCATGAGCTGGAAATGCATATAGGTAGAGGCCGTGTTCTATGTGCAACCGCATAATAGACTCGTGAGCTATCATTTCCTTTGCCCCCTTTTTTGCCTCGGGTACTCCCAACAAAACCTGAGATGGATTAATAGTCCTCTTATCCTCAAACTGTTGCCAAAATCTGTCCCCGACTCCAAAATAAGGAGCACAGAACCATTGCTCGACAGAAGGCACTTTAGAAGCCTCTTCCTCACTTGCCTTGCTTGGTAACTTTTTGGCGGCTTTCTTCAACGGACACACAGCAGGTTTCCCCTTCATCCTGAGCAATCAATTTCTACTTGCATCATGCCAAATCGCAACAAGTAAATTTTGTATTCATGAATCATACTTATTCTAAAAAAAAAAATTAAAAAATTAAAAAAAAAATAAAATAAAATAATAAAATAAAATAATAATAATAATAATAATTAATTTAAATAAATGAATAAAAATAAATCTTCCAATTATTAGCTCTCCTTACTTTACTTCCTAAGTTCTCTCAAATCCCTGAAACCAGCTCTCTAATTTCACTGGCTCACCAATATGAATAGAGTTACATTCTCTTTATGTCTTCCTCAAGTCACCCAGTTCCTAGCTCTCAACATGAGGCGGACCAAATTTTAGTTTTAGCTCCCTAGCATGTGGCGAATAAAAGTCTCGGACCTAGTTTTTCTCCTAATTCTTGGCTCACCGATGTGTAGCTCTAACTACACTATTCTCATGTGATGTTGACTCTTAATATACCTTCATTATTTTAGACTCTTTCAATTTTACCAAGCTCACAACTCTCTTATTATGCTTAGAGCTAGCTCCTAATTCTCTCATGAATTTTCCTAAATGTCCAAAGTTAGAGCCTACTGTGAAAGCTCTCCAATTTCATAGCTCTCCAATATTTTATTATTAATTTTAGAACTCTTCAATTTTACAACTCTCCAATATTTTATTAGTTTTTGTTAGCGTTCTCTAAGCCATGGTTCTCCTGGTATTTTCATAGCTCACCAATATCTTAGCTCTCTATATTAGAGCTCTCTAATCTACAGCTCTCCAATATTTTATTATTATTCTTAGCGCTCTCTAATTTTTACAACTGTCTAACATTTTTTTTTTATAGAGTTCTCCAATTTCATCCAATTTTTACAACTCCAATATTTTATTCTTTAAACCTGCCCAATTTCATAGCTCTCCAACATTTTAATATTATTTTTAGAACTCTCCTTTCATAGCTCTTAGAGCTAGCTCCCAATTCTCTCATGAATTTTCCCAATTGTCCGAAGTTAGAGCCCACTGTGAGAGCTCTCCAATTTCATGGCTCTCTAATATTTTATTATTAATTTTAGAGCTCTTCAATTTTACAACTCTCCAATATTTTATTAGTTTTTGTTAGTACTCTCTAAACCACGGCTCTTCTGGCATTTTCATAGATCACCAATTTCTTATTAGCTCTCTATATTAAAGCTCTCTAACTCCCAGTTCTCCAATATTTTAATTTTTAGAGCTCTCCAATTTTTACGCCTCTCTAATATTTTATTATTATTCTTAGAGCTCTCTAATTTTTATAACTCTCCAACATTTTATTATTATTTTTTTTATGGCTCTCCAATTTCATCCAATTTTTTAACTCCAATATTTTATTCTTATTTTTTAGAGCTCTTCAATTTCATAACTCTCCAACATTTTAATATTATTTTTAGAACTCTCCTTTCATAGCTCTTAGAGTTAGCTCCCAATTCTCTCATGAATTTCGCTAAGTGTCTGAAGCTAAAGCCCACATGTGATAGCTCACTAATTTCTTAGCTCTCCATATTAGTGCTCTTTAATTCATAACTCTCTAATATTTTATTATTATTTTTAGAGTTCTCCAATTTTTACAACTCTCTGATATTTTATTATTATTTTTTTAAAGCTCTCCAATTTCATCTAATTTTTACAACTCTCCAATATTTTATTATTATTTTTTAGAGCTCTCCATTTTCATAGCTCTCAAATATTTTAATATTATCTCTAGAGCTCTCCTCTCATACCTCTTAGAGCTAGCTCCCAACTCTCTCATGAAATTTGCCAAGTGCCTGATGGTTGAAGCCCACATTGTTAACATAAATTTCAGAACATAAACCTTTCACTTTGGATCATTTACCATGTATATTATCAAGAAATCAAGACAAAATGACATACCTAAATCCATTGATGAACGGTTAAACGGAAGCGTCTGATTGTCAATAAAACCTTTGATATTGACTATGTTATTGCCTTCTAATCCTTTCCCCTTTGGTGCCTTATGTTTCTCCTTGAGAGGATTTAGAAAAACAAAAGGAAGTTTAAAAGGAATGAAAACCAACTTTAACCATTATTGGTTTTAATTTCTATTTATTGGTTTTCAAAACTGAAAGGTTGTGGAAGTTTAAAAGGAATGAAAACCAACTTTAACCATTATTGGTTTTAATTTCTATTTATTGGTTTTCAAAACTGAAAGGTTGTGGAAGTTTAAAAGGAATGAAAACCAACTTTAACCATTATTGGTTTTAATTTCTATTTATTGGTTTTCAAAACTGAAAGGTTGTGGAAGTTGAAAAGGAATGAAAACCAACTTTAACCATTATGTTTTAATTTCTATTTCTGCCCCTCATAGAAATAGAAATTATACAACTAGTATCTACACATTAGGTCCATAACACATATACCCTTAAGCCTATTAACTAAATTGAATCACTTAAATTGTAGGCTTCTTATAAATGATAACACCACATTTAATTATGTGGTCCCATTGAGACATTATCTAACACACATGTGATACCTCTCCAATTTTATAGCTCTCTAATATTTTATTAGTGTCCTTAGAGCTCTTCAATTCCATAGCTCTCCAATATTTTATTATTAATTTTAGAGCCCTTCAATTTTACAACTCTTCAATATTTTATTTTTATTGTTAAAACTCTCTAAATCACGGCTCTCCTTGTGTTTTCATAACTCTAACATTTTATTATTATTTGTAGAGCTGTCCAATTTCACGGCTCTTTAATATTTTAATATTATTTTTAGAGCTCTCCTCTCATAGTTCTTAGAGCTAGCTCCCAATTCTCTCACGAATTTTGCCAAGTGTTCGAAATTCTCATGAAATTTGTTAAGTGTTCAATTTCATGGCTCTCCAATATTTTAACATTATTTTTAGAGCTCTCCTTTTCTAGTTCCTAGAGTTAGCTCTCAATTCTCTCACGAATTTTGCTAAGTGTCCGAAATTCTCATGAAATTTGTCGAGTGTCCAATTTCATAGCTCTCCAACATTTATTATTATTTTTAGCGCTCTCCAATTTCATAACTCTCTAATATTTTAATATTATTTTTAGAGCTCTCCTCTCATAGTTCTTAGAGCTAGTTTCCAATTCTCTCTTGAATTTTGCTAAGTGTAGAACCCACAAGTCAAACGTCTCCAATTTCATAACTCTCTAATCTCATAGCTCTCCAATAATTTACTATTATTTAGAGCTCTTCACTAGCTCTCCACTTTAATACCTCTCTAATATCTTATTTTTATTCTTAGAGCGCCCCTCTCATCAATTCTCTCATAAAATTTGCTTTATGAAGCTAAAGCTCACGTGTGACTGTCCTCCAACTCCATAGTCTCCAATTTTTATCTCCTCTTTGAGCTACCTTTCAACTCTCTCTAAATGTTCCAAGTATAGATCTTCAATTTCATAGCTCTCTATCATCTTATTATTATTCTTGGAGTTCTCCATTTTTCACATCTCTCTTCTATTTTATTATTATTTTTAGATCTCTCCATTTTTATAACTTTCCATATTAGAGCTCTCCTCTCATAGCCTTCAAGCTAGCTCTCAATTCTGTCATGAAAATTTGCTTAAGTGTAGATCTCCAAATTCATAACTCTTTAATATTTTATTCTACTATTTTATTATTATTCCCTAACCCTACAGCTTTCCAATCTATTTTACTTTTATTTATTTTTTTTTAAAAAAAACTCTCTGACCCTTTGGCTCTCCATATTTTATTGTAAAACCCTTCAAATTGCCCCCATCAAATTTTTGACTAACGCTTGGCTCACCATTTTGTTTAGGCTCTACATCCACAATCTACTTCTATTTTTATTATTCGTCAAAATACAAACATATATATATATATATATATATTTCTCATTTAAATTAAGATTGCAATTTTTCCTCTTTTTTTTGAGGGGGGGGGGGCGGTTATTTTCCTGTGTAAACAAAAGTCAATTCTTGCGATATTTGCTTTTCTAATGTAAAATCGTGGAATGAAGAGAGAAATATCCCTGTATTTTGCGATGGTACAAATGCAAAGGCCAGCAAAATTCTAAAAGCAACTGTATTAACTTTCCTCCAGTGTGCTTGAAATTTCAGTCATCTACAAAACTATATCGAGCTTGCTCTTGCGTGCTCAATAAAATGTTTTTACAAGCCCAGCTTAACCCTAACATCTGTTCATTCAACAAGTTAAAATCTCGCCGTGCAATTCGCTTGCTATCTTCAATCAACTGAAACCAATGCCTCGAAACTGAATCTGAATTGTCAGGAGCTTCTAAAATGCTCTCCCACTTGCACACACTTGATAAAATAGCCTTGTGGATATGGCACGCCTACATGATAACATAAACACATCACATGAGATTATCATAATTGGCATATACCCATTTGAAATTAGCCCAAATAGATGAGCAAGAGGCAACATGGTTGTTTAATCTAGCAACATCTATTGGCTATTTCTTAATAAATGCAAGCTTGTGCAGTGCAGCGAATTAGCAAAACAGGATCTTCTACCTGCAACAAGCCCATGATAATATCTGCAGTGCCAGCCCCTTCCCGTACACAAAGGAGAATGCCTTGCTGTAAATCATCGATTGTAAAGAAAGAAAAAAAAAATGGTTAAAGAGTAAGAGTCCGCAAATAACTATGGGAGAGTCCAACCAAAAGCTTTTTTCATAATATACTCACTTGCTAGGTTTTTGCCATTGCACTGCAGAGGATCTCCAGACATATGAAATAGAAGTCTTCATTATTCAAAGATTGCATAGTCATCATCGACAACCTTGGTAATTGACTTTTGGGGTTTAAGCAACCAATTCTTATGGGCCACGATCCTCTGCCTAATCCAAATCTCACTAAATGCCGGTATCCAATTCTAAAGCACCCCATATAAAAGCAATAAACATATTTATGGAAAAATTAAGGTGCAAGACCTCACCTTTGTTCCACATGAAATCAACACATTCCTCTTCACTCACATCTGCAGGTGAAGGGATACATACATCCCAACTGAATCCAGGTATTAATTATAATCTCAAGCCTATCCTGACAACGAGAAATGGATAATAAGATGCAATACCACAAAGCATTTTAAAGAGAATACAGACATTTCTTTCATCCCTGAAACAATGGAGCATTGTTGGAGAATATGTACTCCAACGGTGACTCATTTCCAAGAACATCGCACAAATGAGTTGGGGAATTTGTTTCTGTGGGTGGTTTGAAGCAAGCAATGGCACAGTAAAAATGATGTGGTTTGTTGCAGGCAATGGCACAGTAATTACTGATTACCCATTGAAACTGGTTTTGAATTTTGATAGCAAGACAACCAAAAAAAAAAGGGTTGATTAATGAAGAAGAAAAAAAACAAGAGAATGTAATGTATAAACAAGTTATCTAATGGAGGCTTGATATCCAAACATTTTTAGGAATCCATCAATAAAACATTTTTCGAGCATTAGCTTGTCAGGCACAACTTACCTATAGGAGACTAAAGCCAAAAACTTGAGATAGTACATGAGGGGAACTCATCAAATAGGGAGCAAAATTTACATTCTTTAAAAAAACAAAGTAGTCTCAATATGTGAGCAACACCTTTATTGAAGTTTTCATATACACACCCAATAATGTCAATAGAATGACTGTTAGTTTAGTACGAGCATAAAAGACCAACCTCAGTTAATGTCTGCTGATGAACATGCTTCAAACCTTGATAAATTCCAATGAGGTCGATTGCTGAGAAGATTGGGTACACGACAAAAGGCAAACTTGCTTGCAACCTTTCATATTAATGAAAAATTATCAGTTAGGAGCCAAGTAAAGCACAAGTGCCAGCATCACATTAGCAAATTGGATACATTACATCAGTTAAAAAGTCATAATTTTTTTATCCCTTTCGATCACATATTCATGGGGAGCACAGGTAATATAAAATAGAAAATTTTAGCAAACTAATCAATATTAAACATATTGCAATATAATGTAAACAAGGGAAAAGAATTCCACAATGTTGAATTGCAGCAATAAGATGTACAATATGGTCAACTTAGCTATCACAAAAGGATGGAACGATCATTGAATATCAATTTGATGAAGATTAGCTGTGGCACTATGGAACTAATTTAAAATCTGAAGATGAAAAGTAAAAAGCTTAGATTGTTTCTGAACAAAATGTTCAAGGCTGCGGCAAGCATAAGACCAAGGCTATCGAAGCACACTGTTTGAATCTGAAACCCAACCAAAGATCATTTCAATTTACATAAATAAGATACTAAGCACAATATTCTGAATATGATAGGAAAATCTATAACCTGTGCCCTTGCAGAAACTTCACCAAGATTATCTGCTACTGCAAAACTTCGATGAACAGCAGTCTACAAATCCAAATATAACAACATTTAGACTCCAAGTAATAAGGTGAAAGCCAACTTTATGATTATCCAATGAATAAAATTCTGAACATCAGACCGCTCAGAATTAGAATTTATCTAACAAGTAAATCAGCTGAAAACATTCATATCATATCATTAACAACTAAAAATCCTTGAGGAATGAAGCATTTGCATTGACACTGATGGGAAGGCAATAACTGTTGTGTGAATTACATATATGACTGTCCAAGAAAACTGTTCAGAAGAAATAATTTAAAAGACTTGATAGAAAATGTTGCAGGGACCAAAAAAGTTGTTACACAAATTGATGAGGTTTTAGACTGACACCAGTTGCCAGGTAGCATGCTAGGCTTATTTGTTTAGCGATGTTTGCTATCGATGCGACAAGCAAGAAGTACTGGGGAAATGCAGGAGTCAGCAACTCAACCCCAATGCTCAGACTGAATAGCACAGATGTTGAAGACCTAACTCTCTACAAAGGAGAAAATAATTAATAAACAATTTATTAAAATCTAGTTATCAAATAATAGGGAACATACTCTGCAATGTCTTGCTTTGTAATTCTTTTTCAGTTACCAATTTTGCCACTCCATAATATTGTATTTCAGACTTTCCAGTATTTCTTTTGGAAAATAGAGAGTTATTGGTACATCATATAAAAGAATTTTTTTGTCCAAATTCAAAAATGAACTGTGGCGATTAGTAACTGGAAGACATGCCCAAAGAAATGTGTAAAATTGTAATTGCAGACATAGAGTATATGTGACCCCTCATTTTGGTAGGAATCAAAGTCATTCCTTCAAATTGGTATCAAAAGAAGATGCTAGGCTAGCAGTGTAGCTGCACCTACTAAGCCTGCCAAGCCCATCTTTCAAGACCCAATTCAGGGCAGCGGCTGATGGAAGTGAACGAGAGTATCCAATTCCAATTGCTTGAAACATTGCCTAAGAGTAACCCATTTGCATACAATATGCGATCACATATTCTAATTCATCAACAAGAATGAAAACATCTGCTTTCTGTTACCTGAAGCTGAACTAAACACTCAAACTAATCAAACCTTAAAATTACAAATGTAAATTCATAAATACATGTGAAGCAATGCACAAATATTTCATTGGTTTGCCGACCAAAGAGAGATGTTATATTGAACCATAGAAACCCCAATATGGAACCATCTATTTTGACAGAGGCTATCTACAGAATTCCAATAATCATCCAATGTTCCACAAAGTATGCATCATCCAACACTAAAACAACAATGCAAAATTTCTTTCTACTTACATATATATATATATATATCATGTAGTGCGGATGACGTGCTGGATGGACTTGCCTTTGAAGTCCTTCGACGAAAGTTAGAGGTACAAAACCGATTCATGAGGAACAACAAGGTATGCAAGTTCTTCTTCTTCTGCCTCTCAAATCCGCTGCCATTTCGTTTCAAGATGGCTAATAAGGTCAAGAATATCAATTTGTTGTTAGACAATCTTAAGAAAGATGCAGAAGGCATCGGTATTAGACCAGCTGATCAGATCTTAAACGCTAGTACTAGTGTTGAATCTTTACATGTTTGATTAGAATGTTCTTGAAATTTGAGGATTTTGTATCCGTCCTAAAAAATCATCTATGGGATTTGATGAAATGACGTGTTTCAATTTTGAACAAATGCTTTTTTGATGCTCCAATTTTAACTAATTTCATTTTAGCTGATGAAGCTAAATGATCTACATTTCACAATGAGACGGTGACCTAACTGTGGGTTCCTGAGAGCATTGCTTTTAACTGAGCTATGCCCAATTAAGCCATTGAAAGTTGCATATAGCTTTAGAAAACATGTACAGAGGTAGAGTGAGTTAGGAGGCAATTAAACTAACGATGGTGTTGCAACAACAATTCACTTGGAGGATTGAAATATGTATGTAGTTCTAGTTTGGAGTTCAGATCATATGATTTAGTTTAATTCAATTTCAATTTTATCTGTTGTTGATTATCGATGATCTTATACCAGGTTAAACTTGTATGGGGCACCTAGATTTTTGTACCAATTTAAGTCACTATCCTGGTTCTTGAGATGATAGAACTACATAACTATAGTAATTGTACATATGTTGTGCTCTCATGTTAATCAAAATTTAATTTTATGGACTTTTTGTCCATCCTAAAAAATGATCTATAGGTTTCATTAGAATGTTTCTGAAATTTGAGGATTTTGTATCCATCCTAAAAAATCATCTATTGGTTTAATTAGAATGTTCCTGGAATTTGAGGATTTTATATCGCTTCTAAAAAATCATCCATAGGATTTGATGAAATGATATAATTCAATTTTGAACCAACGCTTCTCTAATATTCCAATTTCAAATAATCTCATTTTAGCTACTGAAGCTAAATGATCTAAAACTCACAAGGACATGGTGCCCTAACTGTGGGTTCCTAAGAGCATTGCTTCAGATGACATGTACTTAAACATGGATTTTCCATGCTATCTTGTATATCACTAATTCTAAAAGCCATAGTGCTTCATCCTACCTAGAGTATGCAAAAGTCAGCTGAGTTGACTTGACATTTCCAATTATAACACTTTGGTCAGTCATATTGATTTGTTGCATGTGCAGAGGTAGTTTGTGCAAGAGGCAATTAATCTAACGATGAATTTGCCACAACATTCCACTTGGAGGATTGAATTATGTTTGTAGTTTTGTTTGGAGTTCAAATTGTATCAGTTTAATTCTATTTTAATTTTATCTGTTAATGCCTGCCTTTTTCTGCAAATTGGCTATATATGTCAGTTTCTTTGTTTTGAGACACTTCAATATATGATCTGTTACTTGGAGCATCTAACAAATTACATGTAACATTCTGTTGCCTTTTTTTTTTTTTTTTTTCATTTGTTTAATCTTCAAATCAAGTTTGGTTCATGTACAGAGTTAAATAACCCATCAAGTCATCTCTAACTCATTTGGAAACTTGTATTCATGTACAGATTATTTTGCATGTGAAGGCAAAAGAATTAATTTTGTCTATAGTTTTGTCACAAAGATCATGTGCAGCACAAAATTTGCAGGTGGTATTCTCCCTCTATCCCTAATTGATTAAGTATGGCATTCTTATAATTAGGAAGTGCTAATCTTTCTTTAATGAAAGAATTGGCATGATCACTATCTGATATTTGAATTGAATTAAGGTAGCTTGCTGGAAATAGGTGCTTGAGCTGGAACTCTCGCATCAGTTGGATCAGCTTACGCTATTGGAAGGGCCAAGTGCTTCCGAGTTAGCAAAGCTAAAACAAACATGAAAAAAATCAAGTGCAGCTCAAGATTTGCGGGTGGTGTTCTAATTCAGTCTGTTTCAGAATCTAATATTCGTGTTACCCAATCATTATGATATTCCCATTTCAATTGGGAGCCAATAAAACATATGAAAATTGCATATTTGATGTCTTGAATTTTGAATTATGTGAAGCTTACTCTTGGTTCTTAGTTTTAAGTGCTTGGTCTAGGATACTTTACGTAAGAAGCATCAAAGTTTGTAGACATTCATAAATCAATTTGTGTCTTTAGGCAGTGTCCTAGACCAAGCACTTCAAAGATTGTAGACATCGATAAATCAATTTGCAAATGGAGAAACAACAGAGACTCAGAATTTGTTGTGCTCACTCTCCCAGTTAATTCCTGCCTTTTTCTTCAAATTGGCAGTATAGCATTCTGTTGTCTTTTGTTCTTCTTCTTCATTTCCTTATCAAGTTTGTGAATTAATGTGCAGAGAGTATCACATGTGGAGCAAAAAGAATAATTCTGTTTGTAGTTCTGTGTCACAAAGATCAACTGCTGCTCAGGATTTGTAAGTGGTATTTTCTGTCTGTGTCTCTGTCTCTCTTACATTTGATCTAGTTATCTCCTCTTTGGCAAAATACAGGCTGATAACATAATGTTCATAATTGGCTATCTCATCCAAATTAAAAGAAATCAGTTGAAGAGAAAACTAAAAAAAATGAAAATTTAATTGCAATATAGATGAGAGTTTTAAACTTTCAATTGTTTTGATGGTATTATGTTCTTTTCATTTATTCTGTACTTCAGTCTCTTTCAGAATCTAATTTTTTGTGTGAACAAATTATTCTGATCTTTCCATTTGAATCGGAAGCCAATATAAGAAAATTGCTTACTTTAATGCCATGATTTATGAAATTATAAGCTTACTCTTGGGTTCTTCACCCGATAAGCATCAAAGTTAAATATAAATTGCTTTCTGTCTTTAGGACGTATCTACTTGATCAACTTCAGCACCTCATTGCCTTAAAAGTGTTGTCAATTGAAGATTTTGATGGATTGGAAGCTCTGTAGGAGTGTCTGGGTAACCTTTCATCTCTTTCATTCTTTGAAGCTTCAGAATTGCGAGAATCTGATCAATCTTCCTATGCTGGAAGCAATGCAACGCCTCACCAATTTATGATATTTGCATACTTATAATTGCCATGATTTCAGACACCAGCAGCGGTCCCGATAGTGTCTTGATACAATTTGCTAATCATTCATCACAATGGCAACAGCGCTAAATAGGTGCATCATTGAGCTAAGGTTTATGTTGACAAAGAAAATGATACAACAACTTTAAAGATTGAGGGTTCTCTTTTATCTATGGCTAGTTTTTATGCATTATAAATTTGTTAACATTTATAGTAGTACTGAACTGTGAGTCATCTGAGGCCTCTGGATCCTATTATGAAATCAATTCTGTATTTTTTTTTGTTGGTAACTTTAGTATATGAGAAATGCTATGCATCTCTAAAAAACTACTAAAAATTCTACACACAAGTCACACATTTAGCATTGCTCATAATGGTTGTTACTTATTGACTGATTTTCCTGTTATACAATTGATGTGAAATAAATAGGAAAAATGATTTTTCTTATTATTTTTTGTTGTTATGCTTTTATTGATGTTGAATCACATTATATAATTCAGTTCAATATTAATTTTCTCTGTTGTTGATTATCCATGTTCTTGTACCGGGTTAAACTATTACATATATGTTTTTGTATCAATTTAGGTCACTATCCCTTGTTCTGAGATGATAGAACTACATAACGATTCTAATTGTAATTTGTTGTGCTCATATTCTCCCAGTTAATGCTTGCCTTTTTCTGCAAATTGGCAATATGGCATTCTGTTGCCTTCTCTTCTATTTTGTCATTTCCTTATCAAGTTTGTGTATTCATTTGCAGAAAGCATCGCATGTGAAACAAAAAGAATCATTCGGTTTATAGTCTTGTGTCACAAAGATTAAGCGCTGCTCAAGATTTGCAAGTGGTGTTTATTTTCTCGATCTTGCTCACACACATTTGATCCAGTTATCTGCTTTTTGACAAAATGAGAGCTGATAACCTCACGTTCATAATTGGTCATCTCATCCAAATTAAAAGAAATTAGGTGAAGAGAAAACTAAAAGAAATGATAATTTCATTGCAATATAGATGAGAGTTCTAAACTTTCAATTGTTTTGAAGGTGTTAAGTTCTCTTCATTTGTTCCATGCACTTCAGCACCTCATTGCTTTAAAAAGTGTCGTCAATTGAAGATTTTGATGGATTGGAAGCTCTGTCGGAGTGTCTGGGTAACCTTTAATCTCTTTATTCTTTGAAGCTTCAGGATTGTGAGAATCTGATGAATCTTCCTACTCTGGAAGCAATGTAACGCCTCACCAATTTTTGATCTTTGCATACTTATAATGGAAAGATGTGCAAGGGAAAGCAGACAAGAAAACCAACTGCCAACTGCCAAGAAAACCACCGTATGGGTTTTTTATATTGAAATTTATCACGTGAAACGATGACTTTTGTATATGCTTATTTACTTTCATCATATATATGACATGCATCATGGATAAGCTACGTTTGTTGCTCCCAGACCCCAAGTAGGAACTAAACAGGTTATATTTATTTATTTATTTATTTTAAATATTATAAAAAACTGACAATGCACTCTGATTTTCCAGACTTTGGCGATTTTCATTCCCATAATTTCAGACATCAACAGCAGCCCCAACCATATCTTGATACAATTTGCTTATCATTCATCACAGTGGAAGTGCCAGTAGTGGCAACAAACACATCATTGAGCTCTACTCTCAGAGGTTTATGTTGACAAAGAAAATGATACAAGTGCTTCAAAGATTTGGCTTTTATGCATTATAATTTTCTAAATATTTATAGTAGACGTTGAGTCATCTGAGGCTTCTTGATTCAATTGTGAAATCAATTCTTTTTTTTACCTTTGTTTTAGTAGTAACTTTAGTTTATAAAACAGAAGTCATTGAAAAGGAGTGTATTTGCTTTCTTTAGTTGAAGTCAGGATCATTCTTTTGAACAAAAGTAAAAACATTCCTATTTAACACAACAACAAAATACTCCAAAGAGATCTCGCAAGTAGTGGTTGTTATTTGTTGGACCAAATTCGATTTTCCTGTTTTGAAATTGATGTGACATAAATAGATTTTTTTTCCTTTTATGTCGCTAAATCAAATATATAATCCTGCCCAGATTAGCAAAGATGTTCATTTTATCATAGATCATTACCTCTCATTTCTGTTTTTGAAACAACAGATGGTGGTTGAAACCTAAGGCTTGTTATCAATCTATAAAACTCTTGAATTCATTTTAGAAATTTAAATTCATAAATCCAAATGTAACTTAATATTCTTCCAATTTCATGTTCAGTGAGGCATTTTTCCATGACAATCCAGATTGATCTAAAGAGAGAATACAGAGCAGAGAGAGAGAGAATTATAGAGTGTGTAATTCTTTGTTCCAAATATAGTGAAATCCGCTGCTCGTGGACGTAGGCGATTTGCCAAACCACGTAAATCTTTGTGTGTTCTTGCTTGTGTGTGATTGTTTTCTCCTTCCTAGACAGAACATGATCATCAAGGCATTACACAAAAGTAATGATAGTATTCACTTGTAGTTTAACAATGAGAACTTGTAGCATAGTCGACCAACTCAAACAAACAGAGATATTCATTGGACCCCACCAACTTCATATATATATTTTATTACAAATTTATCATACCAGCAAATTATAATTTTGTCCTCGTCCCTAACCACCGACCTCACCCCACTCCCATCCTGTCCACCATTCTCTCCCACCATCCTAGATCTGGTGACCCTTTGCACCGTTATTTGCTCCACCCCAACTCTTCCTTGTGACCCTCACTCCTACATTCCCCACCTCCCTCACCACGCCGCTGATGAGGAGGGGGGTCACCATTGGCTAGAGGTGAGGAACTGCTAGAGGAAAGGAGTTGCACGGGTGGGGATCCAAAAAAAAGGTAAATTTAAAATTATGGTGGGTGTTCAAAGAAAAAAAGAGTGAGTGAAAGTCTAATAAGGTAGGGATTCCAAAGAAATATGATGGGGTTACTAGTAGCACCCTAAAAAAATTGTTAACAATATAATGTTTTCTCGTTTGCAGTTATGTTAACAATTTTAGCAATTTTAAAATAAAAAAAAATTTAATAAGAGACTATTTATAAATGTAAAGAGAATTAAATCTACACAATTTGTGACAACCCTCACCTCTGATTGGTGCTAATCTCTGATTGAGCATGATAAGTAACTGATTAAGCTAAAATTCTGAACTAATTGCATGAGTATGTTGCTTTAATAGCATTTATATCTGTTTGTCATTTAATCATCTGTTCATGTTTTGATTTCGAATTGCGAATTGGAAGCCGTATCGGCGACCGAATCATAAACTGATTAGTGTTATATGCTAATTAGGATTTAGGTGATTTTATGGTAGGTTTAATTAAATTTGATTTGGAATGATTAAATTAGATTAAATAATGTTATATCACACTAGTTTGGCTTTATTACATGTGTTGCCACTAAGTGGATTATTCTAGGCCATTCACCTAATCTTGATTCACATGTGTTTGATGCATCATTTGCTCACCTTCTTGAGACCAAAACCGAGAAAGAGAGGGAGAGTAGGAGAAAAATTGATTTCAACAAGAATTAGCTTGGAGACTTAGAAGAATTGAGGGGAATTTGCATATTTGAGCTTCCACATCTAGAATTCAAGACATAAGGTAGAGAATTCATCATCTCAATTGTGAATTTAAGTTGTTTCTTGCATGGTTCATGGAAATATTGGAGGTTAAAGTCAAGAATTAATTTGAAGAGTTGAATTGTGAGGGTTGGCATGCATAGGGGCTAAGTTATTAATCTCGAGTGTGTGTTCGTTCTGCAACTGTAGGGTTGGCATCCAAGGACGCTCATTAGCTGCCTGTAGCCCAGTACTCTGTGAGTAACAATGTTGTAAAGATATGTTCAATTATGATAATTTTCTGAATGATCAACTGTACTGCTTATTGAAATGTCTTTATTTAATGAATGAATGTCTGTTCTATTTGTAAACTGTACTCGTGGCATCCATAGCAACCTATTGTTACTGTTACTGTTACAGAGATCTTTGTCGGTTCTAATGTTGGGACCATTACTGTTTACTGTTTGATGGCCATCAACTGACTGGTCGGTCTGTTAAGACCTACTGTACTGTTTTGCTATTGGATGTACCACATATGACTACCATGGTTCTAAATGATTGATTTACTGATGCAATTGACTATTTTAAATACTGAAAGGACATTCATTCTTCACCCCCTTTACGCATATGTTATTCACTGGGCTTTAACTCACTGTTTATATTTATATGTAAGTGTCCAGGCACCGGGTCGAAGCTAGGAGCGTCAAGTTAAGCTCCCGTTTTGTCAAGCCAACCTTTGTGCCTCACTTTGAGGTTCCATGTCTGTCCAAGCTAGGGCTACTATGGGGTGTCTCAGTTCTACTCTTCTGTCTCTATTTTGTAATAAGTGTTTAAGACTTGACCATACAGTTTTGTTGAAGGGACTTAGTCCCTAACCCGGATGTTGGGTATATGACATATGTATATATGTTGGTTTATCAATGTGTCTTTGCATTTAGGTTTTCACAGCTCATTGGACATCTTTTATTTACTGTTTTGGCTTCCGCCAGCCCCTTACTTTGTATTACTGTCCTTATTGTTAAGCAGGCCTTTGGTAATCACGTATTACTAGCCGGTTACGATGCTAAACCCATAGGGACGGATTTGGATCGTGACACAATTCTAGTTGAACAACTATAGAAGTCCAACAATCACCTAACAAATAGGCCCTCAAGAACAAATAAGCAATAATGTTACAAATCCCAACAACCAGCTCAACAAAAAACACAATAATTTTGAAGAAATTATCAATAATTTTTACCTGTGGCAAGAATTAAACCCTTGAAGTCTATAGTGATGGCCAATTGAGCTAATCAAATTGAATTTTTAACATCCCGTTTGAAATTAGTTTTATTTGACTCAAATTTAAAAATTTTAAGATTAAATTGATAAAATTAAAATTTACAAATTGCATATTAATCCCTTATTAAAAAATCTGTGCAAATTCAATGATATTTCATACAACAATTCGATGCCCTTTCCTAGAATTAAAACATCAAAATCAACTTCTTTTTTTATTTTATTTTTATTTTTTTTATTTATAAACAAAGACAAAATTCTAATTGCAAAATCTTGATTCAATATTTTCTCATGCTATTTGTTAAAAAAAAAACAACAACAACAACAATAATAATAATAAACAATCATGCTATGATATGACCATTGACTACGAAGCAACTTAGAAAAGATGCAATTAGCACCAGCAACCGAGCCTTTCAAGGCCTTCAGGTGTTCAATAGATATTGTGCATTATATTTTTTTCCTTAAAATTTCAAGATCTAATGTTATGTTTAGATTTTAATTTTTTGAAATGATTTATGAAGAAAAAAAAGGAAACCGAAAGGAAATGTGGAAAGAAAAAAATTTACTTCCAATCAATGATGTACCAAAAAATTTAAAATAACTCATTTTTATTAAGTAATTGAAATGATGAATGACCAATTTAATATGTTTTGTAATTTATTATTTTTCCAGAACATCATAAAAATAATGTGACATCGCATGTTCAATCACTTAATGATTATTTTTAACAACAATGATAGGTGGTTCGAAATATCATGGCTCGAATGGCTCGAAACACCCAAAACGATGTCGTTTTGACACATTTGAGCTATTCGAACCACAAAAATTACATGCCACTAAATATTTTTCTATCTTTAAATAATGGAGTGTCATGTTTTCTTACCCCTTTTTCAGTGTTTCCTTTTGCTAAAGTAGTTGGCATGATAAAGCTTTTCACTGTTTCCTTTTGTTTAAGTAGTTGCCATATGATGCAACTTTAAAATGCAATAATCACGGCTTTAATCAAAAGAAACCCCACATTTTGATTTCTTATATTTTAAAAAATATTATGTCATTCAATAATTCTATATTAATTGTGTGCTTAATGAATAATAGGAGCTAAATGAATATATAGTCTTAAGTTAATAAAATAGTAAACAAATTATAAAACATCATTGAACATACATTAAAAAACGTGATAATTTGAACCAATTAAATAATTTCTGCCTTTTAGGAGAATATTTAAAGAGGGAGGCATAAAATTTCATTTTTAAAGACATCATTCATGAACCCCCATTTTCATTTCCCCTTAATAATGATGTACAATGAGCAAGAGCCATTAGGGCTGTAAAATAATACCAATTTTGTAGTTTTAATCTGTTTTTTATTTTTTTAAATGGGGTTGTAAATTGTTTAATATCCTGGTTTGGATCCTTTCTGACCCTTCCTCATGGGGTTGTAAATTGTTTAATATCCTGGTTTGGATCCTTTCTGACCCTTCCTCCTATTATCCTCACTTAACAAAAAAATAAAATAAAAATATAAGTTAATTATACTAAGACGCCTTCAATTATGAATTGATACATATTAACCTTCTCAATTATGAAAATTATATAAATACATTTCTTTTGGAAATGATTTAAAGGGGGTAAAAGTAATATATTTTTATAATTGAAATGATCAAAATATAAGAATTCATAAATAATAAAATAAAATAGTATTTATTAATAATTAAAAAAGTCTTAACGTAAATAATCCTAAAAATAGATAATGATGTACAAGAATGTAATCATACAATTTTCTAATTGTACGCGGTTGAAGCCTGGAACAAGGCAACAACTATAAGAAAAGGAAACAGTGGAAAAGTGTAAAGTCATGACTGTATAATACGGTCTAATTCAGATCCCACATATTATTTTTTAATTATACACGGTTGAAGGTTAAATCAATACAACAAACTTTAATAAAGCAATTTTAAGAAATTTTACTTCAATAAACTTTATTTTTGATGATTAAAAAAAAAAACAACTTTAAGAAAAGCAAACAATGAAAGGTAAGAGGACATGACTTTCCCTTGTTCACATCAAACATTCGTTTATTTTTTTGGAAAAAAAAAAAACATTAATGTTTTTCTGGAGTTTAATACTAATAAAAAAAATGAAAGTTAAAGGAAATATTGTTGGCAGTCAATGAAAAATGTATATTGCCAACAACTGTTGAAAATAGTACTCTGAAATTGTATAGAATATAGATTATCAAGAAAACACTCATGTGTTCACATTATACATCCGGAATAGAATACATGTTATCTACCATTCTTGCCGTTATGCTTATGATATCCTTGTTCTATAGCAAAGCCACACCCAGTACACATTCAATTATTCTCTTTTGGATTTAGTGCTATTCAATTTTGTTGTTCCTTTGTGAGGAAAGAAAGGAAAAGATGAGTGCATCTCCACTCTTCTCTGCTGCTCAGGTGATGTTGAATTACCTTATTCCACTAGCCGCCAAACAGATTAGTCTGGCATGGGGTTTCAAGGATGAGCTTCAAAGGCTTTGTGACAAGTTGGAATTGATTCGAGCTCTATTGCGTGATGCTGAGAACCGAGGAGTCATAATAAGGCTCGAAACTATACAACTTTGGCTCAAGAAACTCAAGTCCGTGGCATGCTGTGCTGATGATGTCTTGGACGAATTCAAGTTTGAAACACTTCGACGAAAGATTGAGGTCCAAAACAGACTAAAGAAAAAGGTACGCAACTTCTTCTCCCTCTCAAATCCGCTGCCATTTCGTCTCAAGATGGCTCATAAGGTCAAGCATATCAATTTGTTGTTTGACAATCTTTGCAAAGAAGCAAATGACATTGGTCTTAGACCTGCTGATCAGATCTTAAATGCTGCTAGTACTAGTGTTGAACCTAGAGAATTGAATTTCAGGCTGACTCACCCCTTTGTAGATGATTCACAAGTTGTTGGAAGGGATGGTGATGTATCAACAGTGATAGACATGTTAATTGGCTCCTATGACAGTGGAGATGATTTATCTGTCATTGCCATTGTAGGAATGGGTGGGATGGGTAAGACAACCCTTGCTCAGCTAGTTTACAACAATGACAAGGTGGTGAAGCATTTTGGTGATCAAAGGATGTGGATTTGTGTATCTGATGATTTCATAGTTGAAAGGTTATTGAATCAGATGGTACAATCTCTTACTGGAGATAAATCTGAAACAGAAAATATTGAAGGAATAGTGAGAAAGCTTGAAGAAAAACTAAATGGGAAAAAATATTTGCTTCTACTCGATGATGTTTGGAATGAAAATCCAAACAAATGGGAGTGCATGAGAAATTCTTTGCTAGGGATAGGTGGCTCCAAGGGAAGCAAAATAATAGCTACAACCAGGAGTATGTGCGTGGTATCTACCATGAGGACATCTCTCACTCATCATTTGAGCCAACTATCAAAAAATGACAGTTGGACTATGTTTCGGAAAAGAGCATTTGCAAATAGAGGACCAATTGAAACTCAGAATTTGGTGGCTATTGGTAGAAATATGGTGGAAAAGTGTAAGGGTGTACCATTGGCAATAAAGTCACTAGGAGGTTTAATGTAGGGGTGAGCATGGTCCGGATTGGACTGGATTGGGATAAAACCAGGACCAATCCGTTATTTACGGTTTTTGAAAAATTAGAACCAATCCAATCCGTTTAAATCATGGAACCAATCTGAACCAATCCATTTAAACACGGATTGGATCGGTTTAGGACCACGGATTCACATAATTAAATAACAAAAAATATATACATAATACTTTAATTTCATAAAAATATAAACATAGCACTATATTTGTGCCACAATAGCAACATGTTTTTCTATAATAGCGACATATTATTCTAGAATTTAAACAACCATAAAAAAATTGATTTCACCATAAGTATTTAGACCATTACAAATTAAAACTAAAAACTAATAAACAAAAGTAATAAAAAAAGATATTATGCGGGTTTAGATTTGAGTTTAGGTTTTATATGGAATAAGAGAAGATACTATGGAGGAGGATGTATAATAAAAATATAGACTATTTGTATACGGTCCGGATCGGTTCCAATCCGAAACCGTGGGGTTTAATCCGGAACCAATCCGTGGACTACGGATTTTTAATTCTTCAATCCGGAACCGAACCACAGATTCAAAAAACCAATCCAAACCTACCGGATTGGACTAGACTGGATCGGATTACGGATTTCACGGATTCCTTGCTCAGCCCTAGTTTAATGTACTCTAAGCAATACAATTACAAATGGGTGTCGATCAAAAACAGTGAAATATGGAGATCAACTGAAATCAAAAGTGGAATTCAACCGATATTAAGGTTAAGTTTTGATCACTTACCATCACCGTATTTGAAACACTGTTTTGCGTATTGTTCTATTTTTTCAAAAGATTTCAACATTCAAAAGGATAAGTTGATTCAGCTTTGGATGGCTCAAGGATACCTCCAGCCTTCTTCGGAAAGCAATTTGGAAATGGAAGATGTTGGTAATAATTATTTTAATATTTTGTTGCACAATTCTTTATTTCAAGACATTAAATTGGATGTGTACAATAATATTCTCAGTTGCAAAATGCACGATCTTGTGCATGATTTGGCACTAGATGTCTCAGAGGGTAACTGTTTGGCTTTGACTTCGATTGCTAGTGAGGCTAATTACCATCCCGAGGTTCAACATCTATCATTTGATTTAAAGCGAAATATAAGTTTTGAAATTCCAAAAGAAAATGTTGGGAAACTGAGGACAATATTTTTAACTAAAAATGTCCCTAAAAACATTGCAGAAGTCAAGTGTATACGTGCCCTGAGTTCTGAAGCAATCTTTATGATAGAGTTACCATATTTGTAAGAATTTATGTATCTTATTGATTGATCACAATTTGATTACAAATTACAACTTCTATAAATAGAAAAGAAGGTGGTAGTAGGTGTAGTGTAGTGGAGGTGGTAGGTGAAGTGGGTGCTAGTGGAGATGGTAGGTGTGGAGAGTTCTGAAGCAATCTTTATGATAGAGTTACCATATTACATATCTAAGTTCATACATTTGAAACATCTTGATCTTCAATGGACAAGGATTAAAACTCTACCAAATTTCATCACCAAGCTCTACAATTTGCAAACACTGAGAGTTTCGTCTTTTTATTTTCCTCCATTTCGTGGTTTGAAAGAGCTGCCTTCTACACCTTTTCCTTTGGAAAAGCTTCCAAAAAAGTTCTATGAGTTGGTGAGCTTGAGACATTTTTGTATTGATGATAATGAAGAAACCAGAAAATTGATGCCAATGATGATAGGGAAGTTGACTTCTTTGCAGACATTACCATTCTTTGTTGTTGGTGAGGATGAGGGCCATAAAATTGAAGAGCTGGGTAGCTTAAGCAAACTAAGAGGTAAATTAATGATTTACAATCTCGAACAGGTGAAAGGCAGGGAAGAAGCAGAAAAGGCAAATATATCAGGAAAGCTGAACATTCATGAGTTGGGATTTCATTGGGTTAGGGTGGGCAGTCCTTCAACGGTAGAAGACATTGCTAGCATTAACCACGAGGATGTGTTGGAAGGACTTAAACCTCACGGGAATCTTAAGGGTTTAAAACTCCAGAATTTTGAAGGAAAAAATTTTGCATCATGGATGATGAGCGGTAAAGATGCGCAATTGCTTCAAAATTTGGTTATGATCGAATTATCCGAGTGCACGAGATGTGAACAAGTCCCACCACTCGGACACCTTCCGCATCTTGAAGTTATCAAAATGTCTGGATTAAGTAATCTGAAACGTATTGGTCCTGAATTCTATGGCTGTCACAGTGTTGTTAATCATGATCATGATAATGATGGCAACATCACTGGTAGCTATAGTGGGGCAGCAACAGCAACAACAACAACAGAAAAAGCTATGGCCGTTGTATTTCCAGCACTAAGAGAACTTCATCTAGAAGATATGCCAAACGTAGAAGAATGGTGTGGGCTTGGGGTATCATCATCTTCGTCGGACACCACGATGTTCTTTCCTCTGCTTGAGTTTGTATGCATTAGTAATTGCCCTGAGTTGACTACAATTCCAGGTCACTTGTTATCCTTACAGGAATTGATTTGCAAATATAACTGGGCTTTTTCTGAGAAAACTAGAAATACGCATCGCCCTTACTTGATAATAGAGGCATTTGGGGTTTCGAAATGGAAGAATGGTGTTTTACTGGTAGATTTGCTGGAAAAAAGTGGCAACACCCTAAGAAAGCTGAGAGTAAGTGAATTGGAAGAGCTATGTTATTTGGCAAATAACTTACAAAACCTTGCGTCTCTTGAAGACTTGACGATAGAAAACTGCCCAAATCTAAAGTCTATAATTAAAGAAACAGAAGAAGAAGAAGAAGAAGAAGAAGAAGAAGAAGAAGAAGAAGAAGCATCCAATTGCAGCGGCTTAACATCTCTTAAGTGGCTTCGGATTTCATGGTGCAGCAATTTGACATGTTTACCAAAGGAGCTGTTTCAACAAACCCTTGTAACATTAGAGATAGATGGGTGTCCGAATTTAATAATTGATCCACATGAATTATGCAGCAGGCTCACATCCCTTCAGAGCTTGACGATTCATCAATGTCCAAGATTGGTGGGTTTTTGGGAGGAGAGGCTATTTTTCCTGACCGGCTTTCAAACCCCAAACACTACCCCTTCCTCTCCTTGGTGTCTCTAACTCTATATAGCTGGAAAAGGCTCAAGTATCTGCCTGATCAACTTCAGCACCTCACTACCTTGAGACACTTGTCAATTTCATTTTTTGGACTGGAAACTCTGCCGGAGTGGCTGGGTAGCCTTTCATCTCTTCATTCTTTGGAGCTTTTCGATTGCGAGAACTGATGAATCTTCCCACCCTGGAAGCAATGCAACGCCTCACCAATTTACAATCTTTGAACATTATTTGTTGTTCCCTTCTAAAGGAAAGATGCGAAAGGGAAAGCGGCCAAGAATGGCACAAGATTGCCCATATTCCATCCATCTACATCTCGGAGATTTATCTTTAAAGGTCACTTATATTTCTCCAATTGTTATCCATATCCACGATTTCTTCTCTTCTCTTCTCTTCTCACCCCCATCCCATCCCCCATCTTCCTAATGGTGTTTGCTGGTTTCCTTTTTTCTCACAACCCCTTTTTGGGTTTCAGGTCAGGAGATGAATGATGAATCTTCCTCTACAAATGATGCATCTTCTTCTTCAAGATGAACCATTAAATAGTCTACTGCCAATTATGTAATTTCTCTGTTAACTTTTCTCTCTCTCTCTCAAAATCCATCAGTTTTTTAGTCTAGCTTTTTTATATGTATTATACATTTTTATTTGGTCTCTAGTGTACGCTTTGCCAAATCATGAGTATGTAATGGTTTATAATATTTTTTTCACTCTTTGAAACTTATATATATATTTTGTTTTTCTTCCTATTTCCAGGTTTGTTAATATCTCTGTGCTCCCACAAATTGCTATGTTACAAGGTCTCTTCTACAAGGAAGAGTTCCAGTTTTTCTTCGAGTGCAAATGCTGGATTTATTAATAGTCGATGTAGGGAGAAGCGGTAATCGTTGGTGCACATGATTTTGCACAATCAGAGCAATGTTTTGCAAACTTTGTAGGTTGTTCCTTGAATGTTATTAGTCATTTGAATTATTTGTTTTGTAATTTTCAAGCTTAATAGTTCCACTTTGTCAGTTGAAGATTCTCGTTCAGTGAAAAACTAAATAATTTCTATAATCAGCCAGTCTTCAAAATGCTTTCCTGCTTAGTTTTGAGCCAAACTTTGATTTTCTATAGCTAACAAAAAAACAATTAGGAAGGCATGCCAGTACTCTTGCGTGTTGTATTTCATCCATCTTCATGACACAAATGTTGGTTTTATGTTGTTATTAGCAAAGACATGTGAATTGAATGAGCTCATTTTCAGAAAATGGGAAGAGAAAAATGACTTCTTAATTATATTAGTCAACTTTGTTTTCAGAACATGGGAATTATTTTGTTTTCTGCAACCAATTCAAAAAGCCAATTTTCAGTGTAAATCAAAAATGGAATTTTTTATCCTTCCTAAAAAATCATTTATAGGTTTGATTAGAATGTTCCTAAAATTTGAGGATTTTGTATCCGTTCTAAAAAATCATTAGTGGGATTTGGTGAAATGACATATTTCAATTTTGAAAAAATGCTTTTCTGATGTTCCAATTTTAACTAATTCCATTTTAGTTGATGAAGCTAAATGATCTAAATTTCACAATGAGATGGTGCTTGTGAGTTCCTGAGAGCGTTGCTTCTAACTGAGCTATGTCCAATTAAGCCACTGAAAGTTGTATATAACTTTAGAAAACAGGTAGCTAGGTAGATTGAGTAGGAGGCAATTAAACTAACGATGGAGTTGCAATAACAATCCACTTGGAAGATTGAAACATGTACGTAGTTCTAGTTTGGAGTTCAGATCATATGATTAGTTTAATTCAATTTCAATTTTATCTGTTGTTGATTATCGATGTTCTCATACCAAGTTAAACTTATATGGGATACCTAGGCTTTTGTACCAATTTAAGTCACTATCATCCCTGGTTCTTGAGATGATAGAACTACAAAACTATAGTAATTGTATATATGTCTTGCTCATGTTCTCCCAGTTAATGAACTTTTTTTCTACAAATTGGCTATATATGTCAGTGTGCCAGTTTTGAGACACTTCAGAATATGATCGGTTACTTGGATCATCTGACATTTTGCATATAGCATTATGTTGCCTTTTTTTCCCCTTGATCTCCTAATCAAGTTAGTTCATGTACGAAATAAATAACCCATCAAGTCATTTCTAACTCACTTGGAAATTTTTGTATTCATGTACAGGTTATTGCATGTGAAGCTAAAAGAATAATTGTCTATAGTTTTGGGCTACGGAGATCAAACGCACCTCATGATTTGTGAGTGGTATGTTTTCCTCTCTCTCTCTCTCTTTCTCACACACACACACACACAAACTTATTTGATCTGTTTACCTAATTTTTGACAAAATGTAGGCAAATAACCTCATGTTCATAACTGGCATCTGATCCAAATTACAAGAAATCAAGTGATGACAGATATTAAGAAACAAAAATCCCATTACAATGTGGACGAGAGGTTTAATGTTTGTTTCAAAGGGATGAGTTTATTTATTTATTTTTTTTCATTCTTTCCCTGTAATTCAGTCTGTTTGAGGATCTAATTTTTGTGTTACCAATTTATTCTGATCTTATTTCAATTCGGAGCCAACAATACACGTGAAAATTGCATACTTGATGCCTTGAATTTTGAAATATGTGTTCTTAGTTTAAAGTGCGTGGTCTAGGTTACTTCATACTCGAAGCATTAAAGTTTGTAGACATTTATAAATCAGTTTGTGTCTTACACATTAGTGAGCCATAGCCCTTTTAACATCTGATATCTTTTGTTAAAAACCATGAATTTTTTATTATGTTGTTCTATTTGCTTTTGTTGTGGGTTTTTTTTTTTCCTCTACTTTTTCTACTATAAGAAAACTTTATTAGGCCATTGTATACTTCTTTTGTAGGTCTAGCAATAAGTTGATTCTTAATTTCCATTCTACAAAGCATTTCTAATCATTTCCTTTGATTTTATTTGGTATAGAGTAGCTTGCAAGAAGAAACCCATCATATTCCTAGCTGGGGAATCCATGCACAACCTTGCGTGTGGTTTAATTTTATTTCATGCAGGTGGTCATTGAAATCATGAATTGTCACCATAGAAATTGAGATGCCCCCAATTTTTTTTTTTTGAAACGTCATAAGATTTAAATAACAATAACTTATTAGATAAAATTTTAACTCCTAGTTAGGAACTTTTAAGTTCTTACAAAGCCAAAGTCCAATGACAAAATAAAACTACAAGTTCACACACAACGTCACAACATAGTTTAATCCTAATACAAGGGATAACAGGATTTTATTCTGATGAAATCTTGACTCTAAGTCAGCCAAGGTTCGATATTGGCAGCAGCTCCAGTTTCCGCCCCAGTCCCTTCTTCGACATAATCTGGCATGAAACGCCAGGGCAACAAAATATATGCCATGAGTTTTGCAACACAGTAAGAAAACGTAACCAACCTACCATTCTTTTTAAGAGAAAGATAATAAGATTCTAAACATGAGATAACAATATAATTGTACACATAAATTACAACCCTTAGAATAATTTCAGTAATTTTAATAAATTAGGTGACACTCGAAATCTCACCAAAGAGATTTAACTTACCAACCACTAAGCATGGCAACGGTTAATTTGAAACCCTCCATTGGCCAAATATTTAAGTGTTACCAACCGTAACTACCAGGGATGCCCACGTCCGGAGTTATATACCCAAGTAGTGGCATCCGTGGTCTGCCCCAAGGAAAACGGTCTGCCAGGGGTAAGTAACCTCCCTGTGTGCCACCTGCACATCCACCATTTACTGATTGCCTACCCTATCAGCAATCGTGCGTATAATTTGAGCAACATCGCCATCAGGCACTCCATCAGCATTACCGTTGTTATTATTTCTTGTTCGTCCAGCCATTCTGCATGATGGGATTTTCTTGTGATTTATTCATTTATTTATTATCATTATTATTATTATTATTATATTTACGTGCAAGGATAGTTAAAAAAAAAAAACTTCATTAATTAGGCTAGATAAGCTACAATTAGCAAAATACAAATAAAACAAAAGAAAAGATTAAATAACATACTACGAGCAAGAGATAGCCCCTACAATCCGAGTTAACTCCTACACTCACAATTCTAAACTAGGCAATTTTTACATGTGAGCATACAAAACAATCAGTTAGCCTAGTTTATAGTTCCTTTAAGACCCCTTAAAATAGCCAAGGAAAGTCTCTCCACACCAGGGCTTTCGGCTCCCATGTGGCTTGGAAAAGTCCCATGAATCGCCACAGCACCCATACGAAGATAGCAGTTTCGCACACACGATGCCATAACAGCAGCACTGGCTTCTCCCGATAAGTCCTCCAGTCCCTGAAGTTCAATGACCCATCTCTCCTCACAATTCTGCTTGGGTCGGGCATGATACACTGAAGGCTCCAAAAGTCAAAAAGGTCGCCCACCCTATCAGTGAAACCATCCGGGAAAGGGCCTAATTGATATACCCAGGGAGTCTTTTGTCCTAGAATCTGGA